TAGGTTCCGCATAGTTTAGACAGCAAGAAACCAAAATATGTCTTCACCTAAGTCTCAGAACATAATTTTCATTTAGGCATGTTGAGGTCAGCACTATTTGACATCTAGGACTTCTCAAGTAATGCCTAAACCAGGGAAGCACTTCATGGCTTGTAAGAGTAGTTGGGTCCACCATTCTTCAGCACAAAGGAACATTGTTATTTGAGTCATCTGCAGTTCAGTTTTAAAATGCAGTTCAATTTAAAAATGCTCCAAACTTCAGCAGAACTTCACTCCAGAAAAACTCCAGAAAGGCACAAAGCATGGGATAAGCAGCTTTCACCCTCTAACAATATTCACAGGCTCTTTTCTGAAAGGTCTCTCAGGCCTCAGCAGCACCAGCACCGTGCATACCAGTTACAGACGGACGACTGACACAAATCAAATGTTTCTCCCAAGCTAATGGGAAATCAGACCTTAAAATGGTATGAATTTTTTAAAATACACAGTCTTTAAGGAAAAGCCCTGGTGCTCCTGGGTTCTAAGCCTTTGGACTTCAAAGATTTTCTCCGTAAGCAGAAAGATTATGTGGACTAGCTCCTTACTTTAAGTTTCAACAGAAGTCACATGATATCACACATGTAAGGAAAAACAGCAAACATCAAAACTTGTGTGATAAGCAAATAGCTTATCACGTGTGCATGAAAAACCAGTGAGGCATGAGGTTCTGGGGTCTCTGGAGTGCTAAGCCATCAAACCAGCACAACAAATTTATTAAGAGAGTTCTACAAATAGTATCCTCATAAAAGCTTTGTACTTCATGCAATATGTACCAGATTTTTTTTAAATATTCAAAAAGGATCCTTAGGAGCAGAAGGGAAATTTGTTGAGCATTCAGCAGTGTTTTGTACACAACATTCACAATATCCCTTTGCAGCAAGGCACTGCCTCATCTCCTCCTCCCGCAGCTGCCAAACCATACAAGGATGGGGAATGAGTGTGGGAAGGGTCACCAGCACATTTTCCAAGAATGGAGGTAACTGTAACTAAAGCTTATCCCATGCTGAGTAGCTACATGTCAGTTAGACATGAAGCTAAGATTTTATATTCTTATTCTGTCTCAAAATAATGAGTTTTTTGAAAACCTGGACATTACTGCATTTCATTTGAAAACCATGCTTTGCTATATCTACAGCAGGGGCATTGTGTGGGCCTGCCTAGTGTTTAAACTGCATAAAGACATGGAAAATGATCCCTAGAACAGATTTTTCAGGCTACTTTCAAGATTATCTATATTCCCATTAGGCTCAATTAATCCAAATACAACTATATCTGATTTCAGACTGAGGCGGGCTTTTGTTCAAGATACACTGTTATACTTCCTGACCAGCAACAGGAAACACCTTTCAAGACTACCATTTAAAAATATCTCCTCTACAGAAATGTTTTGCCTTTTTTTGAGGTCCAAAAAGAAACCTGCCTTTCTGTTTATCCTTTGTCCTGAAGCAATATTTTGTTTTTCTCTCTGAGAAAACAAGCTTACTGTAACAGCACAAACAGAGAACAGTACCAAGATCCAAAAAAACTTTAGGTATCGTAAGGACAACTGAAAGGCTCTGGTCCAGTTTGGACTTCTAGCTCCTGCACCATGCTATCCTTTGAAAGGCTGTTGAAACTCTACAGCCCAGTCACAACAGAGAAGTTTTATTCAGAAGGGCATGTTTATTTATGGAGTAGTCAGGCCAAAGCTGAAGCCAGAGTCCTAGAATTTTTTCCATGCAGAAATCAACATAAATAGGAACACGGTTCAGCCCCTTCACCTGCTGGACCTTCACAGAGACACCAGAGAGACAAGCAACAGAAGATCCTTCCCTCATGTTTTTTGGCAGCATCAGCACCAGCATCGTACTTCCCTGTTAACCAGAGGTGGCACAGTCTTGCATTGTGCTTGGAGCAGGCAAGGCAAGAGGCTAGTACAGCTTACACTGCGATGGCCCAAAAATGCAGTGCTGCTTTTAAGACAAAGATCCAAACTGGAGGCAAAAGTTAACTCATGTAAAAACCCCAAAATACTTTGCAAATTATTCTTCTTGAGTAAAGGATCTTATCATTATTTCACATTCACTAAATTAATTCTTTTATTCACAGATTGTACTCCTAAGAAGCAAGATGATTCTAAATTAGCATGAACTGGAGGATATCTGAGACAAAAATGAGTTATAGTCTTGAACAGAAAGTCAAATGCGGTGCCTGTAGTAGGATCTATTTAATTCTGTTTCCATGTTAGAATCATCATTAGAAACTCATCATTCATACCTGTATCATCTAATATCCATAAGCCTACCAGCAGAGCACTTTGGACAGTTTTCAAACATTTGTTCCCTTAAAACATTCACATACTGTCCCAAGGGAAGCCTGACAAATTCCCTTGATAAGTTCTCTTGCAGCAATAGCCGAACAAATGACAATTCACAGGAGTTGGAGCCATTTTAGCTGGCTTGGAAACCTGTCAGCTATAGATCACGAAGCATGGCAGTCAAGTATTGAGACAACTGATAAGTCTCCTGGCTTTTCAAAAGATTGAGAGTTACCATGGCCTTCAGACACTTCTCTGTGGCTCAGCGCCAGCTGTAGACCAGTCAGTGAGTGTCACTGTTGGACTACTAGTGCCTGAGAACAGAAAAATTATGAGCTCCCAGTATTCCGTTCTTGATGTTTCTCAAGTAATTACAGCCAGAAGTTCCCATGGATGCCTTGACATTTCCTCCATACTATAGCATTTTAGTTAATTGGGTTTTTTCCCCAAAGATGGATGACTTTTATATCTGAGCCTCATCTGAGCTTTGCTTTGCTTGTTAGGGAACTTAGAGTGAAATACTGTGGGACATTATTCAAATTTCAAAAGAATACTTTCTACTCTTCTACTTCCAACTTCAGATTGACGTTAGCAGATTTCCCTGGCTCCGTAATGATTTCTTACTTACCGACCATGAAAACATCATATGTAACACACGTTCAAAAAAAACAGGCATAGCTGTTAGTCATTGCTCCACATGCCACTTACATGCAGAAAAAGCAGAAGTTTAGGATTCAAATGTCTGGTAGAAATGTTTCATATTGTAAAGAGAGCATCATGTTAATGAGTTTGACAACCACTGCCCTGTATTTCACATTTTACAATACATATAATGTGGGTTCTTACGTTTCTTCCCCCAACTTTACAAAATGCAATGAGACACATAAGATGCAAAACAAAAATTTACAAGATATCCACTTTTTGAAAAGAAGTGCTGGACTTCCTTGTTAAAAGGTCAAGCAGTGAACAACTGACTTTATAAGTGATATTAATCTAATTATGTAATACCCCAAACCAAACCAGGCATTTTTGTCTTGCTGAGCACAGTTTCAAAATAAATAGCCTGAACATGAGATCTCTGCTGGACCAAGCATACCCAGAAATTCACACCATCAGCTAGAAATGAACAGAGTTCTACTTAAAATGCTGTGATTTATACAAGGGATTTTAAGTAAATTTAATTTGTTTCCTGCGTTTCAGCACAGTATATTAAGAGCAAATGAATTCTCTCAGCATAAACCAGTGAAACAATGAAGAACAAATGAGTTAAGCCATCTTCATAAATCAATTTGTGCTAAAATATGTGCTAATCCCAATCTGCACCCCAGTTAGATATTACCATATGAGTACATTCAGCAATTTTAAACTGCCTGCAGGGCAACAAATCAAGACCACTGTCATCATTCACATTTTCTATTGCAGTATCACATCTGTAAAGAAAAAATGGCAGAGCTGTCCCAAACAAAGTTCACTGGGTCTTCTAAACTGCTACTTCTAACCCTATTATGTGATTTATTTCTTGTGTGACACTGATTGAACACATGCAGCCCTCATGTTTGTGAGGAAAAATAGGACAGGAAAATCTTCTTTCCAGATTTATAGAGTCCAAGAACTTTGTAAATTTTTCATTTACTTTTAAAATAAAATAGAATCATGTGGAACTACTAACAGTTGGCTCTCCAAAGGGTATGAAGTTAATCTGAATTTGCCTGAGATGCTCACCCCAAAGTTCACTCCATGTTTTTAAATTCAACTCTCTCACTAGATTGGATTGAAAGTGCTATGAAAACATCCTATTCTCTCGTTGTTTCTTTACTTCCACAATTCTTCCCAAGTCAATCCACTAATTATTGAAAAGCATTAAAAGATGAGGATTATTTTAACTTCTCCAGTAACATAAAGATTCAAGTGGACTAAAAAAAAAAACGTATCTTCTGCAAAGAGCATATTTCTGCACAAAAAATATTTCTGCTGTGATAACAGATATTTCACTTATTAGCTGGTATGCCAATTTAACAAACCATTTTTACTAACAAAGAGAGCTATAAGATTTTTTTTTTTAATTAAACTTTACCTCATTGAGATATTTTTGAAACCTTGACAGTGTTTTGAGGATACGTTTAGACTGTCAGTTCAATTCAAAAGCATGACAGAGACAGAAACTGAAATCAGATGCCTCGACTTTTCATTCTGAAAATGGAAATCTCAATAATTTCCCTAGATGGAAGCACTATATGGAAGGCTTCAATAAAGAAGCCTGAAGGTTGCCCACCAAACAGAACTACTAACTTGCAGTTAGCTCTACAATTAATTGCCTATCTCAGAAAATTACTTGGATAGGCCCTTCTTCTTCAGGGATACACTCCTTTGAAAATGCCACTAGACCTGCTATTATTCTGGGAGCGCATTCACAGTTTAACCCAAATCAAGAGTTAAAGAGACACTTTACAGAAGAAGATGGAAGTAACATCCCCATCCTACAGACAAAGGAATATGAGTGGATTAAACAACATTTTCATTATAGTTTAGCAAGTTTATGATAGATCTGTATCTATAACCATGTTTCAACATGTGTGCTGGTCTGTCAACCTAACTTCTTCACTTCAGAAACATCTGCTTTGAAAGAAATTATGTTTCCAGAGAAGAAAAATCTGAAAAATCTTACCTGGCAAAAAATGATGCTGCCACCGAGGTGCCTGTGGATACTTCACTGGCAACGTATGTGCTCTGGGACACAGGGAAGCTATACAAAGAGGGTTTATCTGCATTGTAGCGGTTCAATGCTGCTTCAGTCAGGCCCTCTCGACCAGTCTCTGTCATAAGCTGAGATATCTGAAGGTAGAAAAAACAGAAGAGTCATCAGCTAAAGCTCTCTATCTGACCCTTACTCATCCAGAAGTGCCTCTGGGTTACAGATAGATTAAGGAAGGCAGTTCATTCACTACCTCCTTGCTGCTCTGTTAACAGGTTTATTGCTTCTGTCATGCTAATCTACAGTACTTTGGCTCAGCTCTAACCTTGTCTGCATTAGAACTAATGGGATAAATTCATCCCGTCACTAGAAAGGTCAATAATGTCTATGGCTTTCTATCCATATGCAAAAGGAAAAGCAAACCATAACCTTTGCTAGGTTTTACCTCAGGGTACAAGAGAGATAGCTTAGATACGTGTCAGATATTTATATTTTACTTCAGGAAAAAAAAATACATTTGTTTGCCTTTGTAAAATAACACAGCACTAGTTTATTAAGTATTTATTATTTTAGTCAACCTTTCTCCAGAAAAGCCAGCACATAGCATGGGAAGGAGTCCCTTGGGACCCTAGACTATTTAGAATGTCTCTGGAAAACTGGCCACTTTCATCGGCTTTCTTAAAAGGCTTTGAACAGTCTATGATATCATCCTTCTGATGACCCATTTGACATTTTTTCCCCTTTTAGGAAGCCTCATCTCAGCCTTTCATTGTATGGGAAAAGAAATAGAGTTCAAGCAGACCCAACCCAGCTCTCCCCAAATTAACTGAAAGATCTTTATTGACTTCAGAGAAAACTGGAGCAGCCCTATTGAAGCACCTCCTCAAAACCTTGATTTCAAGTTTCGTGACTTCTGCATGAATTTACAATGCTATGATGTCATCTATTGTACTTCATGCCATTCCTAACAACTTCCCTTTCATCTCCCTCTCATTTCAACCCCAAATCGCTTTTGTTCACCAATGCGTGTCACAAAATTGCAGCATATGCCTAAAAAGAAACCTCCCAAATTATTGCTAGCAGTTGTCCAAGGAATTACTTCCTTCTACCTGCAAAACGTTTGCAAGAACCTGTCTCTCACCTCTTCCATTTCAGTTCTCATGCCTATCCTTATGACCACAGTAATAAAAGAACATCTTTGTGAGGCACATAAAGAAAAGTAACTGAGATCATCCTGTAGTTCTTTCTCCACTTAGGCTTGCTTTATTTCAGCTGTTAAACATTTCAGTTATTAAAGACAAAGTCAAGGAACTGTGATTTGTGTTTGGGAGAGGAAAAGACATGTGATGTGAAATATTTTTTAGAACAACTATCAAGCCCCCTCTGTTTCTTTTACAGAGAGTTGTTACCCATTCTACTATGGCTAAGAAGATAATCTAAAAATCTGTCCTCGTTTTACATATTTTTTTAGGCAAATAAACTGTAATACTTCAAGAACACGAATGCTGAACTAGCCACTCTTTTTTATGAGAAACCAGTAACATTGCTGAAAGTGCCCCTATCATGTTAGTCACACACTGAGTCTAATTTACTGATTCACTATATTGAATGGGCAGTGCTCTCAGAAGGCTGCAGCTGTAATCCTGAACTTAAATCATCTCATACTACTGTTAAAACACAAGAATTTAGGCTGGCTGCCAGGATACCTCCCTGCATTTCCAGCATGCAGACAAACCTTTGTTCTTCGGTGTTCTGCTAACCTATATATGTCCACCTGGGGCATTCAATACACTTGAATTCACTAAACAATAATTTCCTCAAATTTTCGATAACTCGGCTCTTTATATTTGCACTGAACTAGCACAAGAGCCTGCTCTATACTCTCAAATTTTCCTGAAACCAATTTCATCACTATGTTGGGAACTCCTAGGCAAACAGATTTTAAAAGCTCTCCTTTCAGAGCAGAATACAGTTATAAATCTTAATGTCACCTTGGTCCATCCAATTCATATACTTGAAATCAGGGATGGACCATCATTAATCAACTGCCATTGCTGACAGTGTCACCAGAAGTGCCGCTCACTTCCATGGCAACCTGAAGTTGATGACTTGACTTATCTCAGCTGCTATCTCAGTTGCAATCATGACCTCCCCATCTTCTGCCAAATAAAGATTTGCACCTCCAATTATGGATTTCCACAGCCAGTGCAGGACATTTCTATTGGTGTCAGATCCTCTGAAGTTGCAAGGTGGAGAGGCTTGAGTGAGGCATGTCAGCCAACTACAAAACAGGAAAGGATTTGTGCCTCTCAGTGTTTGGGTGACCCACCACAACATTCATCATGACAAAGGCGTAAAAGCAGTAACTACATGGTTTCTGCAATTAGAGACTTTCAGGTGATTCATGTCCATATCCACAAGTCCTATTAATCTGAACAGCTCAGAGCAATAAAAAGCCTCAGACTGATTGTGGATGTTTCCTGAAAGGTATTACTCTCGAGCTTCCTCAAAGGCTGATTAGATGCTTTGTTCATGAGCTGCTGGATAACCAGTTCTTATAAACAAGCACTCCAAAATAATCACGTACTACTCACTCACCAAAGAAATACAAGATTCTTTTAGAAAGATATAAATATAAACCACTCTCCCTCACCTATGCACTCATAGAAATAGATATTAGTTCCTTTGCATTCTACCAGAAGAAAATGTGACCTAAATACAGGCTTTATAAGATCTTCATCCCCATTTACTAAAAAGCATTAACATTGCATTTGCTGACTAAGTAAGAAGCTGGAAACTTGTTTACAAATTCCATATGTGTGGAGTACCACACTAACTAAAGGACAGAGAAAGAGAAGAGAGATTAACAATATTCACTTTAGGAAATGTATATACTGTGGACAAATGCAGAATGGGGGTGTTTCTATGTAAATGTAGGCTTTTCAGCAGTACTGCTATTTTATTGTGTCCTACACAACAGTCCAGATACTACAGGGATGGTCAGCTGCTCAAACCACAAGCTAAGACACATCTGTATGGTACTGACCACCAGAGCCTGCTGGAGAGGCAGCAGGTCCCCTTCCCATTTCATACAGCTCACTTTGCTGCAGTTGATTTTGATATATTATCTGTGAAAAGCAGCATTGCAGTGTAAACAGCCATGTCGGAGAGCCCTTCCAAAACTACCCTGGATGGGCACTCATAACAGGGCATGTTGGGTTTGTTATGCACCCTCTCGATCCTGAGGGTTCAGCACCACTGCCTGGTTTCCTTACACACACTGGCATGCTTTCTGGGCAAAAAAAATCCATTTCTCAGCATAAACTCTCTCAGAACTGAACTCTCAAATGCACAGACTGTCTGTCCTTGAGCTCCATTCATTTATTGTTTGCCGCAGCAGGGACACTTCCTAGTTGACAGCATATTCCAAGGATACCAAAATGGGAACATACTTTATTTTACCTAAACAAGGGATAGAGAAATTAAAACAAAGTAAGAACTGCCTTAAGCCACATTCCAGGATCTTCTTATCTAGAAATGGTTTCCAGTTTTAGCACTTTCTTACTTTGTCTGCCAAAGTAGGATTCCTCAACAGTGAAATGTCTGCAGAAGCAATGAAAACTGAAAAATTTTCTTGAATTTCAAACATTCTACTGTTCCTTATCTGGGAAGCCTGCAACGCCACTCGATATTATACAGGTCAAAGCCCACAGAAGCACCTTCTGACACTGCAACACTCAACCTCAAGCAGAACATCAGGTTTTGCTAGAATGAGTTCCTCAAGTCACTCTGTTGCTATCTTTTCCTTATATCAAAGCAAGAACAGGATAACAAACTAGAACTTGATATTGGAGTCTCCTTCTCTGGTGACATTCAAAACCCGCCTGGACGCCTTCCTGTGCAACCTCATCTAGGTGTTCCTGCTCCGGCAGGGGGATTGGACTAGATGATCTTTTGAGGTCCCTTCCAATCCCTAACGTTCTGTGATTCTGTGAATTGTCCCTTTGGTCCTGCAGCCAGTGGAGATGATGGGCAAAGATGATGCTATGCCAAATTCTGCGACAGGCTAGGATCCTTTTTTGTGTCCAGTACTTATCAGTACTGCACAAATTTGTACATCTGGGTCAATCCACAGGCTGAATACCTCCCTAGACAAATGTCCACAGTATTTGATTAATAAATCCTCATATATGTATAGGTATTGAACTTTGAGAATAAAGTAATGCATGGAAAGAAGTCCAGATAATTCATATATGCAGAGACTACTGACCTTGAGTCAGCTCTGCTGCTTTTCTTTCTTTTCCCTTATAGATTAGAGACTGTAGAAATCATTTAAAACTATTTTACCAAACTGAAGAGTGGGCTTTGGAGGTAATCTTGCCACCTCTTTTACTTTGTCCTCTGGTCACAGCACCAAATTACCCCTTTTTCCTCTGATATTGCTCGCTAAAGTTCACACATACATAAACTTGAATAAACATACCTGGCATATATCAAGTATTTAAGGAAAAATACACATACAACAGACATTCCCACAGCTCTTAGTGAATTTCTTTTTTTCCCCCATCTCAGTTCAAAAGACATAGTTGAAAATCACACTTCAAACATTAGCAAACTCAGGTTCTCGCTCTTTTTTTTTTTTCCTTTTTTTTTCTTTTTTGCCTTTGTTTCTCCCTAGTAATGTATGCCTGGGATAAATCTGCTTCTTCAGTGTCACTATTTCTCTTACATGACACTGTTTCTGGATTTAAGGTGGAAAAGAAGAAAAGACTCCTCAATTCTCTTTCCCATCCTTTCTGTGAGTACCCATATACCATACACATGGGGTTTAAGATTGGTTAATAGGATATATTTTGACAAATTCCTTTATTGAATTGTTGGCAGCACATCACCGCATGGATAAGCAACAAAAAGACAAAGCATGGTACAACACAACCTTTCATGCTTCAATAAAAACCTTTTAAGTGCACAAGGAACAAGACAGATGTCCCTTCCAAGGCCCCATTTTTTTCTCCTGTCTCATAAAAGCAAGGCATCCATTAACCTCCTCTTTCACTGCTTTCTGACAGCATACAGTTAGAGCTGGAGATAAGTCATAATTTAAATTCTCCACTTCATAGGAAAAAAATGGCCCTCCAGT